CCACCTGAGCTTCCTCCTCCACAGATGGAGCCACCAGAACTTCCTCCTCCCCCGTACCCTGAGCCTTTTCCACCCCCAGATATGGAGCCTCCACCACCAGAGCTTCCTCCTCCTCCGTATCCAGAGCCTTTTCCTCCTCCAGATATGGAGCCACCACCACCTGAGCTTCCTCCTCCACAGATGGAGCCACCAGAGCTTCCTCCTCCTCCGTATCCTGAGCCTTTTCCTCCTCCAGATATGGATCCACCACCACCTGAGCTTCCTCCTCCATATCCTGAACCTTTTCCTCCTCCATAACTTGACCCACCACCCCCGTAACCCCCTGAGCTGCTGCCACCCTTGGAAATGGAGCCTCCTCCACCAGAGCTTCCTCCTCCACAGATGGAGCCACCTGAGCTTCCTCCTCCCCCGTACCCTGAGCCTTTTCCACCCCCAGATATGCATCCACCACCTGAGCTTCCTCCTCCTCCATATCCTGAGCCTTTTCCTCCTCCAGATATGGAGCCACCACCACCTGAGCTTCCTCCTCCACAGATGGAGCCACCAGAACTTCCTCCTCCTCCATATCCCGAGCCTTTTCCACCCCCAGATATGGATCCACCACCAGAGCTTCCTCCTCCATATCCAGAGCCTTTTCCTCCTCCATAACTTGACCCACCACCCCCGTAACCCCCTGAGCTGCTGCCACCCTTGGAAATGGAGCCTCCTCCACCAGAGCTTCCTCCTCCACAGATGGAGCCACCTGAGCTTCCTCCTCCTCCATATCCAGAGCCTTTTCCACCCCCAGATATGGATCCACCACCTGAGCTTCCTCCTCCACAGATGGAGCCACCACCAGAACTTCCTCCTCCTCCATATCCCGAGCCTTTTCCACCCCCAGATATCGATCCACCACCTGAGCTTCCTCCTCCACAGATGGAGCCACCAGAACTTCCTCCTCCCCCGTACCCTGAGCCTTTTCCTCCTCCAGATATGGAGCCACCACCACCAGAGCTTCCTCCTCCTCCGTATCCTGAGCCTTTTCCTCCTCCAGATATGGATCCACCACCAGAACTTCCTCCTCCTCCGTATCCAGAGCCTTTTCCACCCCCAGACATGGATCCACCACCACCTGAGCTTCCTCCTCCATATCCTGAACCTTTTCCTCCTCCATAACTTGACCCACCACCCCCGTAACCCCCTGAGCTGCTGCCACCCTTGGAAATGGAGCCTCCTCCACCTGAGCTTCCTCCTCCTCCATATCCTGAGCCTTTTCCACCCCCAGATATGGATCCTCCACCTGAGCTTCCTCCTCCACAGATGGAGCCACCTGAGCTTCCTCCTCCTCCGTATCCTGACCCTTTTCCTCCTCCATAACTTGACCCACCACCCCCAGATATGGATCCCCCCCCTCCAGAACTTCCCCCTTTTCCCCCTCCAGAGATGGGCCCCCTTATTCCGCCCCCTCCGGAGCCCGTTCCCCCCTTTATCCCTCCAGGTCCCGCTCCGAAGACTCCGGTCATTCCCGCCTGGTGGTCGATGACACCTGCAAGAAACGGGAATTGTGTCCACCTTGGGCTTTTCACCCCCAAAACCGGGATTGGAGCATCGTCCTTCCCACCCTGCTGGTCCCGGGCTTATCCCTGAGGGGTTTCCATGAGCAGAGACCAACCCACGGAATGTTTTCCTCCTTTTTCCGGGGTTTTTGGCTTATTTTAACCCAATTTCTGTCTTTTTCCCCCCATGAACCCTCAGTGTGGCCCTGCCTTTAGGGAAGGTCGGGACTGAGTTTCGCTCCCCTTTACCCGTCTCCCGTTTGCACAAATGTTAGGACTGGCTTTTATTTCCTCAAATTTTAGGACTGGCTTTTATTTCCACAGATTTTAGGACTGGCTTTTATTTCCACAGATTTTAGGACTGGCTTTAATTTCCTCAAATGTTAGGACTGGCTTTTATTTCCTCAAATTTTAGGACTGTATTTTTATTTCCATAAATTTTAGGACTAGTTTCTATTCCCACGAATTTTAGGACCAGCTTTTATTTCCTCAGATATTAGAACTGGTTTTTATTTCCACATATATTAGGACTGGCTTTTATTACCTCCAATTTTAGGACTTGTTTATTTCCTCAAATTTTAGGACTAGTCTTTGTTTCCACAAGTTTTAGGGCTGGTTTTTATTTCCACAAATTTTAGGGCTGGTTTTTATTTCCTCAAATTTTAGGGCTGGTTTTTATTTCCGCAAATTTTAGGACTAGTTTTTATTTCCACAAATTTTAGGTCTGGTTTTTATTTCCTCAAATTTTAGGACTGGCTTTTATTTCCACAAATTTTAGGGCTGGCTTTTATTTCCACAAATTTTAGGACTAGTTTTTATTTCCACAAGTTTTAGGGCTGGTTTTTATTTCCACAAATTTTAGGGCTGTTTTTTATTTCCAAAAGTTTTAGGACTAGTCTTTCTTCCCACAAATTTTAGGGCTGGCTTTTATTTCCACAAATTTTAGGACTGTATTTTATTTCCTCAGATTTTAGGGCTGGCTTTTATTTCCACAAATCTTAGGGCTGGTTTTTATTTCCACAAATTTTAGGGCTGGTTTTTATTTCCACAAATTTTAGGGCTGGTTTTTATTTCCACAAATCTTAGGGCTGGTTTTTATTTCCACAAATCTTAGGGCTGGTTTTTATTTCCACAAATTTTAGGACTAGTTTTTATTTCCCCAGATTTTAGGACTGGTTCTAATTTCCTCCCCTCCTGCCCTGCCCGGACCTGTAGAGTGAGGGAGTTCCTCCAGATTCTCCCAGTTCCTCCAGATTTGTTTGGAATTAGCCAATAATTCTGATTTATTGTCAGTTATCTACTGACACTCGGTCACACAAAAACTCCCCTTGTGTCATTTCCCAAATGACTCAGGATGGGAACTGGGATTTTTGGTTCTGACTGTGGGAGCTGAAACCACAAAATGGTTCCAGTTCTCTTAAAAAAGAAGCAAAGGAAGTCCTGGGGATACTCACAGACCGTGGCCGGGGAGCCCTCCTGGATCCTGCGGAGGAAAAGGGACCGGTCAAATTAAAACTGAAATTTAATTGGGAACTAGAAGTGAATTTGAAGTTGGAATTGAGATTGCAATCAAAATTGAAGTTGGGACTCAAATTCAAATTGAAATAAAAATTGGGATCAAAATCGAAATCAAAGTTAAAAATTAAATTAAAATGGATATTAGAATAAAAACAGAATTGAAATTGAAATTTGAATCAATATTGAAACTAAAATTGATATTGAAATAAAAATTGAAATTAAATTTAAATTTCCATTTTAATTTCAATTTTAATTTCAATTTTAATTTTGATTTCAATTTTAATTTCAATTTTAATTTTAAATTAAAACTAAAATTGAAATTGAAGTTGAAATTGAAATTAAAATTGAAATTGACATTGAAATCGAAATTTAAATTTAAATTAAAACTAAAATTGAATCTGAAGTTGAAATTAAAATTTAAATTTAAATAAAAACTGAAATTAAAACTGAAATTAAAATTAAAGTTGAAATTGAAATCGACATTGAAATCAAAATTTAAATCTAAATTAAAACTAGAATTAAAACTGAAGTTGAAATTAAAATTGAAATTGGAATTAAAATTGAAATTAAACTAAAAATTTAAATTAAAACTAAAATTGAAATCAACATTGAAATCAAAATTTAAATTTAAATTGGAATTAAAATTGAAATTGAAGTTGAAATTAAAATCAAAATTTAAATTAAAATTGAAATTGACATTGAAATAAAAATTTAAATTTAAATTAAAACTAAAATTTAAACTGAAGTTGAAATTGATACTAAAATTGAAATTAAAATCAAAATTAGAATTAAAATTAAAATTGAAATTGAAAATAAAATTTAAATTTAAATTTATGTTAAAATAAAAATTTAAATTTTAATTAAAACTAAAATCGAAATTGAAGTTAAAATTGAAGTCAAAATCGAAGTTAAAATTGAAATTAAAACTGAAATTACAATTCAGGTTAGTGTTCCCCAGTAACCCCAGGGAAGGCGCCTCCTCCCCGGCAGCTCCACCCCGGAGATCCCGGGCTCCGATCCCAGATTCCCATTGCCGTGTTCCCATTCCTGGGGATTCCCTGGCTCAGATCCCAGATTCCCATCCCGTGGGATCCCAGCACCCACCTGTGCTCCTCCTCCTCGAGCAGAGCCCTGTACACGGCGATCTCCACGTCCATCCCGGAGATCCCGGGCTCCGATCCCAGGTTCCCATTGCCATGTTCCCATTCCCGGGGGTTCCTTGGCTCAGATCCCAGGTTCCCATTGCCGTGTTCCCATTCCCGGGGGTTCCCATCCCCAGCACCCACCTGTGCTCCTCCTCCTCGAGCAGAGCCCTGTACACGGCGATCTCCACGTCCATCCCGGAGATCCCAGGCTCAGATCCCAGGTTCCCATTGCCATGTTCCCATTCCCGGGGGTTCCCCGGCTCAGATCCCAGGTTCCCATTCCCAGTGTTCCCATCCCGTGGGATCTCAGCACCCACCTGTGCTCCTCCTCCTCGAGCAGAGCCCTGTACACGGCGATCTCCACGTCCAGGGCCACCTTGGCCTCCAGCAGCTCCTGGTGGTCCCGGACGAGCCGCGCCAGCTCCGCCCGGGCCTCCTGCAGGGCCTCCTCCAGCTCCCGGAGCTGCTCCCGACCCTCCTGGACCGCTGAACCCCCCCGGAGCTCCGCGTCCCGGATGGAGTCCTGCAGGCTGGAATTCTGCACGGGAACAGAGGGGGGCCTTCATTTCCCTTCCCTGGGGGGGATTTTTGTTCCTGCAGGGAACGGCGGGGTCGGGATTTCACCGCTGTGCCACCAGGGGTTTCAGTTTTCCAGATGGAAAACCAGGGGTGGGATTTCACCACTGTCCCATCATTGGTTTTAATTTTCCATATGGAAAACCAGGGCTGGGATTTCACCACTGTCCCACCAGAGGTTTCGGTTTTCCAGATGGAAAACCAGGGTTGGGATTTCACTGCTGAGCCATCATTGGTTTTAATTTTCCATATGGAAAACCAGAGTTGGGATTTCACCACTGAGCCATCGTTGGTTTCAATTTTCCATAAGGAAAACCAGAGTTGGGATTTCACCACTGATGATTCCCTTCCATGGTCACGGGATCATGGGAACCCACGGCTGGAAGGGCGTCATGGGGATCCTCCAATCCAGCCCTGCACAGGGAAACCCAAAAATCCCACTGCTTTCAAACCCTCCCAGCATTCCTTGGAAATTAAAGGACCTTCCTTAACAATAGAACTCCAAAAATGGGTAAATTACCCAAACTAAATCCCAATGTAAATCCCATTTTCAAACCCTCCTGGCATTCCTTGGAAATTAAAGACTTCCCTCAATACAGAATTTCAGAAATTCACTTAACTGGGTGAATTAACCCAAATTAAATCCCATTTTCCAACCTTTCTGGCATTCCTTGGAAGTTAAAGGCTTTCCTTAATGACAGAACTCCAGGAATGGGTAAATTACCCCAAATTAAATCCCAATGTAAATCCCATTTTCAAACTCTCCTGGCATTCCTTGGAAATTCAAAGACTTTCCTTATTGGCAGAACTCCAAAAATGGGTAAATTAACCCAAATTAAATCCCACTGTGGATCCCAAGACTCTAAATCTGCTTCATTTTGGAGGGAAATCATCCCTAAGTTTGTCCCCAGAGGATCAGCTGCCTCCAGCTGCACCGAGACCCCCCGGAGAAGGCACTTGGACAGTTTGGAATTCGTCAGCTCACCCTTTTCCTGGCGACCTCGATCTCCGGCTGGAGCCTCTGGATGTGCCGGGCGAGTTCCTGGATTTCCCGGTGGCTGTTCCTCAGCTGCTCCCGTTGGCTCTCCCACGTGTTCTGCAGGTCCTGGAACTGAGGGCAGGAGGGGAAAAGGGACGTTTGGGATGGGTTTGGGTTCTTTCCCGGCGGGAGGACCCGTTGTGTCCCGGATTTCAGTGCCCACTCACCCTGCCCTGGTACACGGAGTCCCCAGGATTGGGTCCCACTCACCCATCCCTGGTACTCCCAGGTTTGGGTCCCACTCACCCTGCCCCGGTACAGAGTCCCCAGGTTTGGGTCCCACTCACCCATCCCTGGTACAGAGTCCCCAGGTTTGGGTCCCACTCACCCTGCCCCGGTACACGGAGTCCCCAGGTTTGGGTCCCACTCACCCTGCCCTGGTACTCCCAGGTTTGGGTCCCACTCACCCTGCCCCGGTACAGAGTCCCCAGGTTTGGGTCCCACTCACCCTGCCCCGGTACACGGAGTCCCCAGGTTTGGGTCCCACTCACCCATCCCCGGTACTCCCAGGTTTGGGTCCCACTCACCCTGCCCCGGTACAGAGTCCCCAGGTTTGGGTCCCACTCACCCTGCCCCGGTACTCCCAGGTCTGGGTCCCACTCACCCTGTCCCGGTACACGGAGTCCCCAGGTTTGGGTCCCACTCACCCTGCCCCGGTACACGGAGTCCCCAGATTTGGGTCCCACTCACCCTGCCCCGGTACACGGAGTCCCCAGGTTTGGGTCCCACTCACCCTGCCCCGGTACACGGAGTCCGCGTCGGCCGAGCTCCGGCGGGCGATGCCCTCGTACTCCTGGCGCACCTCGGCCAGGATCCCGTCCAGGTCCAGCTCCCGCCTCGTGTCCAGGGACAGCACGACGTCCGTGTCCCCGGCCAGGCTCTGCAGCTGGGACAGCTCCTGCGGGGAAAAACAGGATTGGGGTTACAGCAGGATTGGGGTTACAGCTCCTGCAGGGAAAAACAGGATTGGGGTTTTGGGAGAGCTCCTGCAGGGAACAGCGGGATTGGGGTTACAACTCCTGCAGGGAACAGCGGGATTGGGGTTACAGCTCCTGCAGGGAACAGCGGGATTGGGGTTTTGGGACAGCTCCTGCAGGGAACAGCGGGATTGGGGTTTTGGGACAGCTCCTGCAGGGAACAGCGGGATTGGGGTACAGCTCCTGCAGGGAACAGCAGGGGCGGGATCTGGGACAGCCTCCCTGCGGGGAAAAAACGGATTGGGGTGTTTTGGGGAGAGCTCCGCAAGGGAACAGGGATTGGGTACGCGCGGCAGGAACAGCGGGATTGAGGTTACAGCTCCTGCAGGGAACAGGGATTGGGGTTACAGCTCCTGCAGGGAATGATGGGGTTGGGATTTTGGGACAGCTCCTGCGGGAAACAGTGGGATTGGGGTTACAGCTCCTGCGGGAAACAGTGGGATTGGGGTTACAGTGGGATTGGGGTTACAGCTCCTGCAGGGAACAGTGGGATCAGGATTTCACCAGTGTCCCACTAGCAGTTTCAGTTTTCCATATGGAAAACCAGGTTTGGAATGTTCCCACTGTCCCACCAGTGGTTTCAATGTCCAACGAGGAAAACCAGGGCTGGGATTTTGACAGTCCATGGGATCAGTCCAGCTCAGCATGAAGGAAGAATTGGGACCCTCGGACAAAATTCCCACTGGAATTTCTCCACCTGCAGCCCCCAGGTCCCACAGTCCCACCACCACTTGTGATTTCCAGGGACTTCCAGCCCTTGGGACGGGCAAAGGGCGTATAAATTAATTAAATATTAATTTGCATGTCGATATAAATATAATCAATATTGTTTGAACTGGTAATTATAGATAAATAGAATAAATACTTATATACATAAAAGACGATATGTAGAGATAAATATAATAAACACTTATATACATAAAATATCTATATTTATAGATAAATATATAAAATATGTGAATGTGCCATCTATAAATATAGATATTTATATATTGTGTATTTATAAATAACTGTAATCATTATAGATATATATAATATAACTACATATATAGTTATATTATATATAATTATATATAATTTATATATAAATATATATATTTATATATAAATTTATATATATAATTTATATTTTATATATATTTATATATATAAATTTATATATATATAATATATATATAAATATAATTTATATATAAATATAACGAATATTTATTATTTATTTATGTATTCTAAAGACCTTATAAATTAATATAATGAACAGAAATATCAAGACCAAAGGCCTTAATAAGTAATTATATTCACTATATAATATTTATATATTAAAATATATACTACAATTATAATATTTATAATATATTTATAATGAATTTTAATATATAAATATATTATAAATATATATCATAAATATATAAATTATATATATATATTATAAATATATATAAATATCATTATAAATATATATTATAAATATAAATATATTATAAATATAAGTGCAATATATTACTTATAATGTAGTATATAATATAAATTAAGCTTTCTATTCTATAGCAATTAATCATATTAATTAACAAATTAATTCTCCACGAGGTCCCACTCGGGCAGAATTCCTGGGAATCTCCCCGAAACCCCCGTGTTTTTACGAGCTGAGGGTGAGGTTTGAGTCACTCACAGCTTCGTGCAAACAGCGCAGGAATTCCAGCTCCTGCTTCAGGATTTCCACCCTCACATCCAGCTCCATCTTCCCCAGGTAGGCACTGTCCAATTCCTGGGAAAAAACCAAAATCCACGGTCACATTCACATTCCTTTGCTCCAGATCCTCCCCTGGAGTTCAATTCCCGGCGTATTCCCAAAAAACCTTCAGCCCTGGGATCAAATATCGGCCCCCCCCGGGCTCGGATTCCGTCGGAAAAGCGACGGGAACGGAGGGAAAGGGGGGGAAAAACGGGCTGGGAAAGGAGCACCAAAACCTGGGGCAAAAAATGCCCTCCTGGGGAACAGGAGAAAGGGGAAAACGCGGGTTTGTTCTTTCTCTGGATAAAAAGCTGCCGAAATTCCCTATTTTCCCCCCGGATTTTGTTCTCCTGAGCCACCTCTAGGCGGGATTTAACCTAAAAATGACCTTCTGCTCGAGCTGGGGGGGGAGAAGAGGGGAAAATCAGCATTTTGGGGTTATTTCAGAGAATCCCACGATATCCCGAGCTGGAATATTTCCTTCCAAGGGACCCATTCCAGAGGGAATTCTCCCTCCCTGGCCCCTGCTCTCAGCCCCTCCAGCTGGAATTAAATCCCAGCAAACCCCTCAGCTTTGAGGACCTCGGGGGTTGTTTTATTCCCCAGGTTTTGACTCCTCGGTAATTAAAGACTTTTCCCGATCCAGAGCTCCAGAAATCCCTTGGAGCAGGTGAATTAACTCCAATCCCATTTCCAGGGGCTCCAGTTACTCCACCTTTTTCAGCTCCACAAATTCCTCCTCCCGGGACGTGCGGTTGTTGATCTCGTCCTCGAACCTGGGGCAGGAAGGAGGTGGATCATTATCTATTATTAATTAATGTACACAACTAATCCATTATCAATTAACCTATTTCATTCATCTATTATCCATTAATCTATTATCTATTATCAATTAACTATTTCATTCATCTATTATCCATTAATCTACACAATTAATCCATTATCTATTATCAATTAACTATTTCATTCATCTATTATCCATTACACAATTAATCCATTATCTATTATCAATTAACTATTTCATTCATCTATTATCCATTAATCTACACAATTAATCCATTATCTATTATCAATTAACCTATTTCATTCATCTATTATCAATCAATCTATGTACCTCGCTGTTATCTATGTTAATTTTTCAGTGGGGTGGATCAGAAAACAAAAGGGAATCACCCAAAAAAAAGTGAATTTAAATCGAGGTTTCAGTTGAATTCCAAGTTCTGGCAAGTGCAGAACGAAGCACTGAAACAGCCTCCCCCAAAAAATGGGATGGACACGGATTGGCCCTGAATTTAGGAATTGAATGAGAATTGGTCCTGAATTTAGGAATTGAGAGACACAGATTGATCCTGAATTTAGGAATTGATAGACAGAGATTGATCCTAAATTTAGGAATTGGTAGACACAGATTGGTCCCAAATTTAGGAATTGATAGACACAGATTGGTCCTGAATTTAGGAATTGAGAGACACAGATTGGTCCTGAATTTAGGAATTGATGGACACAGATTGGTCCTGAATTTAGGAATTGATAGACACAGATTGGTGCTAAATTTAGGAATTGATGGACACAGATTGGCCCTGAATTTAGGAATTGATAGACACAGATTGGTGCTAAATTTAGGAATTGATGGACACAGATTGGCCCTGAATTTAGGAATTGATAGACACAGATTGGCCCTGAATTTAGGAATTGATAGACAGAGATTGATCCTAAATTTAGGAATTGATAGACACAGATTGGTGCTAAATTTAGGAATTGATGGACACAGATTGGTCCCAAATTTAGGAATTGATAGACACAGATTGGTGCTAAATTTAGGAATTGATGGACACAGATTGGTCCCAAATTTAGGAATTGATAGACACAGATTGGTGCTAAATTTAGGAATTGATGGACACAGATTGGCCCTGAATTTAGGAATTGATAGACACAGATTGGTCCCAAATTTAGGAATTGATAGACACAGATTGGCCCTGAATTTAGGAATTGATAGACACAGATTGGCCCTGAATTTAGGAATTGATGGACACAGATGGGCCCTGAATTCAGGAATTCTGGACTAAGCCTCCCGTTTTTCAGAGCCTGGCTGGACACAAACTCCCTCTGGTGCAGCTGAGCCCGAGGTGACGGCTCTGCCCAACTCCCCCCGTCCCTCCCAGCAGGTCCCCCCAGCAGGTGCTGGGTTGCTCGGGGGAGGAAGAGGAGGAGGGTGGGATAAATCAACAAGAACTTCAATTTCCCTCTCATTTCGGGGGTTCAACCCTCCCCAGACTCCTCCATCCCCGAGGCCAAGCCCCCCCAGAGCACCCACTGCCGGCTCAGGGTGCGAAGCCGAGCTGGAAAACCCCCCAGCGCCCCTTTCCCCCCCCCGAATTTGGGGGTCCCTCACCTGTTTTTGTACTCCTCCACCAGCTGCAGCAGGTTGTAGGCCTCGGGGTCCAGCTGCTCCTTCTGGCTCTGGAGCGTCTGGAGCTGCCTCTGCAGGCTGGAGATGTAGGACTGGAAGAAGGAGGAGATGTTCCTGCTCTCCTCGGGGCCCGAGCTCTGCTGCTGCAGGAGCTGCCACTTGGCCAGCAGGGCCTGGTTCTGCCGCTCCAGACTCTGCACCTGGGGGGGAACAGATCCAGGGGGAAGGGATTGGAATCTCTGCTGTGGAAACAGGCTGGGAGAGCTGGGAATGTTCCCCTGGAGGCTCCAGGGAGAGCTCCATTCCTAAAGGGGCTCCAGGAGAGCTGGGAATGTTCCCCTGGAGGCTCCAGGGAGAGCTCCATTCCCAAAGGGGCTCCAGGAGAGCTGGGAACGTTCCCCTGGAGGCTCCGGGGAGAGCTCCATTCCCAAAGGGGCTCCAGGA